AAATAAATAAATAAATACTGCTGTTTTAAAATGTCTGTAATTAAATCAGAACCTTATCATTCAAACCACTTTACTGTGAAAAATAAAAACAATCACAGCAGTACTGCATTTATTGTTGTATGTCAAATTGAAAGAACAGAAACTGCTCCTGATAATTGTGCACTGACAGGCACAGTGAGTGAAGCGGTAACTGTTTATCTAAAGGGTCAAAACACAAAATGAAATGGGAGTCTGGCTATTTCAAAGAGTTTAACACTGCTAAAATGTGTATACCATTTGGTGATTTACACCTTTTTGGACCTTTCAGGTCTAATGCACTACACACAACATATACCACTGTGTATATAAGATTGTGTTTGACTGTTGACCTATTTTGTTTAAGGCCAGCTAATAACAATCATCATCATCATAATAATAATAATCACCTTTATTTGACCAAGTATGTTACACACAAGGAATTTGTTTCTTAATGGCTAATGTTTCTATTTAATTTCATAATGGCTGATTTTAGTTTGTTGCCCTGCATGTGAAGCAGTTTGTGGCTTGTGATTATAGATGACTATTGAAATGAGTTGTATGCAATCATCAGTAAAGTAATTACCTTTATTGGCCAAGTATGTTACACACACAAGGAATTTGTTTTCGGTACAGAACCGAGGCAGCCATCTGCGCCACCAACTCAACCAATGGTTCTAGCCATCGCAGGCAACTTGGGGGTTCAGTGTCTTGCCCAAGGACACTTCGACATGTGGACTGCAGGCACCAAGATTCAAACCTCCAACCTTCCGTTTGGGAGACGACTGCTCTACCCACTGCACCACCGTCACTGTCAATGTATGCCATATTTGCTCTGATCAGATAGTGTATAATGTCTTTGTAGCATTTTTACTTCAGAACTTTTTTTTTAACCGACCTAGGTTGTACCTAGTCCCAGTCAGGGATGAAGAAGCAGAGTCTCAGAGAAAAGCCAAGTCTCGTCATGCCAGACAGACCCGCAGGTCAACACAGGTACAGAACAGATGGCTTGCAGTGTTAAAGTTTCATGGTGTTGTGTAAATTTTGACAGATACTGTATGAAGCTCCATGAATGTCCTGCAGGGTGTGACGCTGACAGACCTGAAAGAGGCTCAGAAGACCAACAGCATGTCTCCTCAAGACAGACAAATGGATGAAGCAGACAGGTCCTGTGTGAGGAAGGGCTTGACAGATGACAGGAGGGTCCAGTTCAGCCTGACAATGTGCACAGAAACAACAGAGATCAGTCCAAAGTGGAGCAAACTGGATGAGGTGAGCAAGCGATTTATGTAGAAACAAATTCAGCCTTGCTCCAGCAGAAATAACTGGTTTATAATTCTGGAAGAGGTTCTTGTCTTATGCATGTACAGCAGGGGAACATTGAACCTAAGTTAGAAACCCTCACTGAGTCTCCAGGACCAAAACTTCCATATTCATCTGTTGCTGAATCCTGTGGGCTGTCTTACTGCAACAGCTCCTTCAGAGGTAAGAAAAACAGATTTGTTTTTACCCCTTATGTTTTGCTGAGACATGCTTTAAATTCTGATTGATGATATTTGATGTTCCTATTTTTTCATCAGTTTTTTTAACTTTTCATTCTTAAGTGAATATGTAGAGATGTATTTAAATGACAATGCTTCAATTTGCCAAAAACTGGACCCATGAATTTGATAATATACATAACCATATGACATTATTACATTATCTGTTTTACAATTTCAGTGAGCTATGCCTGTACAGAATATATTTCTTGTGCTGGCCTAAACATTATTTGTGCTGTCTGAAATTCCAAAGATCTATACATTTTAATAATTTAGACTTTAAGAACAATATTTTTTGTGTGAATAATTCTTATTGCTCTTTTCTGGAGATTGATCAGTAAATGCTGTGAACCTTTGTAGTTGTTGCCCCAAACCTCTGCACAGAATTGACAAAATTGTTATAAAACACCAATGAGAGAGGTTCTAACAGAGCACAGATACAGGCCATATGAAAATCCTTAGTATTTAAAAATGTTTTACAATTTTTGAGTCCCCAAAACAAGCAATCCTCTCGAATATGTCCTGAAAAATCTTGTTTATACAGTGGGACAAAAAAGTATTTAGTCAGCCAGCAATTGTGCAAGTTCTCCCACTTAAAAAGATGAGAGAGGCCTGTAATTTACATCATAGGTATACTTCAACTATGAGAGACAGAATGATGATGATGACACTTTATTACAGACTCAAGGTCCAAGGTCAAAAACAAATAAATAAATAAAAGCAATAAAAGAACAGTTTAAAAACGAAACAATAAAATCTGAAAATACATAAAAACGAGAGCACAAGAACACCCATAAAACTACTGCCCCTTTAAAAGACAGGTATACCAGTGTTTCCAGAGAACCGAAGTAAAACGCATGTCACTGTGTGCAACATTAGTCAACGATAAAATAATATGATTTTTTTTAACAATTCAAGCGACAAATACATTTAAACATCAGGTTTCTTAAAACAGCGGAAAATGTACTAACTCGAGATGACACGAACAAATCACTTGCACTCGTCCATCTAGGCTTTTTCAATAATATCCTCAGGGCGTCATTGTAAGCTACTGACAGTTTCCGAAGACTGCCCTTTTTATAATTACACCACAGATGAGCAGTGTACAACGAAGTACAATACGCTTTAAACAAAGCCAGTTTTACTCCCACGGAGCATGCACCAAATCTCCGTGCGAGTACATTATCTTGAGAAAAACAAATCCAGAAAATCACA